CATCAACATCATCCACAGCGGGCGGTGATGTTGGCGGCGTCAGTGCACTGCCGCATGACGTGCGGGAGCTCATCAACATGCAGGTACTGCTGAAAACACAGTGGTTGGACCATGCACGGGTGGTGTTTCATCCGGGGTGCTGTGCTGTGAGTGTCTTGTGGTTGCGCTATTGTTGTTGTTGTCGAGTCAACCTGTATGTGGTGTGTGCCGCGACTCGCCACCTTCCTACACACCACCACCACCACTGACGACAATCCATTGACACACACACACACACACACACACACACACACACACACACACACACACACACACACACACACACACACACCTCACCCCAATCCCTTCCTCCCCCCCCCCCTGCCCCTCCTTTCCCTCTCGCCCACAGAGCACATTTGACCCTGTGAACCATCAGGTGGTGCGCGTGTTCAAATCGGACCTGTCCTCCCGCCTCGTCACGGTCACGCGCGACACAACGGCGCGCACGCTCCTGCGAGCTGTCCTACACCTGTGGTCCATCCCCACCGTCGACCCGAGCGGGGGCAAGTGGGTGCTGTGTCGCATCGTGTTCCAGCCGGAGGCGCCGCACGGCGTGTACATTCACGCCATTTCGCGAGCAGCAGTCGACCTGAGCGCACTGGATGACGGAAGATCACGACTCTATGTCATCAACAGCAGGAACTTGGAGTATGTGCAGGATGTCGCCGTACCTGGGAGGGCAGGGACTGCTGCTGCGTTTGGCAGCGCGTTGCCTGCAGGCACGGGTAGTGACGAAAGCGATGGTGGTCGTGGGCGCGGTGTGAGCGGCAGCCACAACACCAGCGGTAGCGTCGACGCTAGCCCAGCACAGCTGCGCCGCAACACAACCACATCCTCGTTGTCCTCATCATCATCAACACGCACACACCAGCAGCAGCAGCAGCGTGGTGACACACAAACACACAAACCACACACACACATCACCCTACTTTCTTCCTCCCCCCCCCGCCGCTCCTCTTTTCCTTGTCGGCCAAGGAGAATAGTTCCTTGTGTGCAACCAGGGGTGGGGGGGGTTATATCAGCCTTGCTCTCCTCCATCCTCGCCGTAAGGACGTACAAAGCGGCGGGGAGGGCCCTGCGAGCAGGTCTAAGACAGTTG